AATGATATCTCACTGTTAATGATGACCGTGTCCTTAAAGATCGAAAATTTCAGTTATTCATGTAGAAAAGTGGTATATTGCTCTCAGTGGCGGATCTAGAAATGTTTCAATATGGGGCGATTATTCACATAAAATGTATTTTGAAGCTCTATAAAAGTAGTTTCAGCTCCATTTTAAGCGTTTTCTTCTAGAAAAAATCGGTTTTTTGTTCTGTCGATATGGGACGATCGCCCCAAGCGCCCTCCCCGTAAATCCTCCACTGATTGCTCTTCATATTTCTTGATTATTGTTGACTTCCTTTCAAGTTTTCTCATCTCAAACTTACCATAGAGATAGTGCTGACAGTGATTCTAATTGATAGATTCCTACAATATTCGAAGGGACCATGATTTCGTCATCAGAAAATAATAATGATATCAAATAAGATGAAATGCATCGAACTTCTCTATTCCTGTACATTTCTAAAATCTTCTTTTGTATTCAATGACATTGACTTTACGATTTGAATGTTAACATTTTCCGAATGAATCGAGTTTGTTCATCGCTTTGAATAGTATGTGTGACTTTCTCGGTATAATGCTACAAAACTCCGGAATTTTTTGCACAAAAAATTTCTCACAAGAAGTTTCAAAAGAACAGCATTTTTTTCAGCTTCTTTTTTGAGCAAGAAGAAACATAATCGACAAACAATTGATCTTAAAATCCCTTTTATTCTTTTTCTCTACTGATTGAGATAAAAAAGTGAACATTACTTAATATATTGAGATCATTGACAGGACGATATCTTAGAAGTCTTTCATGAAAATGATGTGAGATGAATAGTTACATGTGAAAAAATGACGAATAATCAATCCTATCGAAAATTCAGATGTCTTTTATAGATGACAAGTTTTTCTAGAACATCATCGTCAGTTAATTCCCATTCAATAGCACCCGTATCTGATTTTAATCGATTCCTGTTTGGTACACGTAGAAAAAGTTCTTTGATATCATCATTTAATGCCTCATCGAATGGTAAACAATTGTGTTTGTTTTGTATGGCTCTATCAGCTCCTGCTTCGAGCAATAATTTAACAATTCTAAAATGACCACGATACGATGCGACATGCAATGCTGTGCTACCAATCGGTTCAATTTTATCTATCTCATCAAGAGTCATTGTTTCCAGTAGTTTTTCAACCTCTTCGACATTGTTATCACGACATGCCAAATAAAATTCGCTACAAACATTCGAGAATGTCGCTTCTTTTGTTACTGTTGTTGTTTTGATTATTGTTCCTGTCTGCGAAGTTGGTTTTACTTTCGACTTAGTATCTTCATTCGCTGTTGATTTGTTCGAAGAAAGGGAATCGGAGTCATACGAGTCCGAACGGTGAATGTGCATTTGACGAGCTCGACGATCAAATACAAACCGTTTCAATGATTCCAAAAAGTTTCCCATTATTCAGAAACAAGAGGATTATGTTCAGTATTCACAAAAACGTTTATAGAAATACGAATACGTACCTTAAATATGAAAACAGTAATATTCAATCGTAAAGTAATAGGAAGTTTAGACGAGTTAAATTCCTTCACTGGGTATTCAAATATCGTTTTGAAAGATAATCGAAGGGCAATTTCTAGCATCCACTCAAAAACGTTTTAAGATAGATATCGATGATTCTTAAATCATTTTGTAGAGAGCTTCGCCAGATTTTGGCCTTCCTTTCTTCCCTGTCCACTGAGTTCCATGACTGTTCATTTTTGACCGACCTTTCTCTCGAACAGCGAATATTGTCTATGGATGATTCTATGCAATGAAAATTTGAATCTTTGTGTATAGAAGTTTCTGAAAAATGAATCCTATTAATCGAACGAATGATTTTGCAACCGATACAGCAAGTTCTAAATATGAATACGCTATTGCAAGTCTTACTTCGCTGATATATTACGAAACTAACTTCATCAAAAATAATTTTATAAGTTTAGTTTTATAGAAAAACTGAATTACATGCTATCGATTTAAATAAAACGAGATAATCTCTACGAGCCATTTCCGGTTATAGCTTAGGATTCAACCGTCCTCACCCAGATTTCTATTATCTTTTACATTACAGTCTACAGGAATTATGCCAAAAGTTGAACTTCATTATACATGGAATGAATTAAAGACTTAGTTTTCATCTAATTATCAGGAATGAAACTGAAGATTGACTGTAATATAAAAAATCGAAACATTTCATTAGACTATAGATAACACTCAAAAACTTTTACCGTAATTCATACGTTAAACAAGCAGTTATTCGTGGGGGAAAAAGCGAGCTTAAAAAAACAAAATTCCACTTGAAAATGAGAAAAATATGTTGTGACAGACTCACAATGTCTCGTTGTTTGAAGTAAAATATGTCCTTTCGAAGAAAGAAATATCGTTATGAGGACTGCTTGTAAAGCTTATTTTTTCCTAATTGTGTATGTCGTAAGAAAGCAATAGGATGAAATCAAAATTGTGGACTTTGTGCAGGTGATCTTATACTTGATTGTCACAGACAACAAAACAAGAGAAAAGAAGAACAACACATGATTCTATTGGACGGACAAGTAACAATTATGAATTTGGTAAAATTCTAGATGGCAGGATCGTTCAAAACGAACTCGAAGAACAAAATTAGGTTGATGTAACAATAGAATCCAAAAATGGATAGTCGGTCAATCGACTAGTATAACTAACTATAGTTGATCAAGCCAATGAAATGTTGGGTAACACTTCTGTTGACTTGAGGGTGTGGATGTGGGTATGGATAACGAGAAGACAACACTCATACTCACAAACTTAGTATTTAAATTTACCCGTTTTCTAAACTTAACTGAGAAAAAAACCTCAATTTTAATGCAAAATTTGTGTACTTCTATAATTACAGATGTCGCCATCGAGATTCTAAGATTCATTAAAATCCATCCATATCTCTATAATAAAACACAATTGTCTGTCCGTCTGTTACCAGATTAAAGGTTAAAAGGTCAAGAGCCAAGAGTCAAAGATCAGGATCTGGCTGGATGTATGGTGCGGTGGAACGCGAGTGGATGAGTGAGGGCTGGTGTGAGGTGCAATGACCATACTTGGAACAGGGCCGGTCGGTCTGCCGGTTACCGGTCCGGCTCGGTTGAACTTTTGAGACCGGCCGGTTTTTGCTGGTTTTTCACCGGTTTTTTTCTCATTTTTAGGAATAATATGTCATCGCTTTATAGACGTTATACATTATAACGGATAAAAATATCATGTTGATAATTGAAAATTAAAGTATGAGAGGTGAGAAAACATTATATGAAATCAGTACTACATTAATTTTTTCATCGCTGTACAATCCTGAAAGTTAGTCTCGAATTTTATTGTTTATTGATTTCCAGCCAAAAAGCAGCAGTACATTTGCACTGTATGCTGCAGTATTACATTAAAAGCAATGCAGAAAAAGAATTCATATCTTCAAGAATCGATTTTATATTTATTGGATAGTTTGCATTCTCTTTTGACATATTTATTGTTTATCTTTGCTAGATTAAAGACGACTAGCCTATCGTTTCTTATTGTTTAGATATGAGTTTCTTAGTTAGTGATTATTAGGAAGGACATAATGTTTGTCTGAGAATTGTGTTACTCTCGCTTTTTTCATTCAATTTATTTATTTCATGACGTTTCGAAGGACACGTTCTTCTTCGTCAGGTTGTTACAAATAAAATACAGATAAAATTGATGTACGAATGAGGAACACACGTATAAATGTATATATATATCAGTACAAAGATTGAACTCTCTCTTTTCTTTTTCTTTTTAATTTTGAAGAGTGGAACGGACGAAGAATAAAATAGGTAATATATTTTCTTTTTATCTCACTGTTATCGCCTTATTGTCATCCGTTGCGCTTTTGAAAATTAAGAACAAAACACAAAAAGACAGAAGTGAAAATTCAATCTTTGTATTTATATATATTCATTTATATGTGTGTTGCTCATTTATACATTAGTTTTATTTTTATTTTGTTTATAACAATCTGACCCAGAAAAAATTTTCTTATGAACAACACAATCATGATTGATCCCGATAACTTGAAATGTAGTCAAATTGAAGTCAAGTTAAAATTGAAGCAATTTATTTTAATAAAAAATGTTAGAGGAAATTATGAAAAGTGGTCAAACGATATTTCTTTAGTCGGAAGAGTTAATGAAAATGGTGTAGAATAAATTTTTGAAGATTATGCAGCATGGTAAGCTTATCGTTTTTCCTATTTTTGCAAGAGCTACTTTCATGATATAATTCTTCATTTTAGCAATTATTGCTATTCAACATATCGAACTCATAGTACGAAAGATAAACATGGTCAAAGGAAGAATTGTGGGCTTAATTCTATACATAAACATTTAAAAGAATGTTCATACAAATCTAAAAATCATTCATCTGTAATTACATTATCATCAACAAGCAATACTTTACCACAAACATCGTCATTACGTGAAGCATTTATACCAAAATTTACTTATAATAAAAACGAAATTTCAGATAACTTTTGAAAATAAATTAAAAGATGCAGAATTGAAGTTCGTTGTTGCTGGATCACATAGTTTAAATTCACTTGAAAATAATGGTATTCTAGAACTGTTACAAGTGGATATCAAGATTGGAAGTCATTATGGAATGTTAGATATACATGATATTTTTTATGGTCGTAAAACAATTCGTGAATATTTATTAACAAAATTTGATGCATATCTTAAGACAATAAGAAATATTCTCGGTGAACCAATAAAAGAACATTGTTTAGCAGCAACATATGATTTATGGACTGATGATTTTGCTAAAAGAACTTATTTAGATTTCACTGTATTTTGGACAACCAAAGAATATGAATTAAAACATTCATTACTATGATGTAAATATTTCGAAGAAGCTTCAAAAACATCAGTAAATATTTGGCACGAATGTAAGTGAAGTGCATACTTCTGTCATATAAACATTTGATAAGTTTTCAATGAAATTTATATTTTTTATATATTTAGTAAAAATCATTTTTAATTCATTCAATCTATCTTATGGTGATACACCAATAACTACTGATTCTGGTTCGAACATAGTTGCTGCATTTAAAATTACAGATGAAACAAGATTATCTTGTATGGCCCATCGATGTAATACAGTACTTGAAACAGCGTGGGATGAAACAATAAAAACACACAAAGATGCTGAAATTTTTTGCAGTTGTGTGAAAGATTGGAGAAAATTTATTAATCAAACCAGTGGAATACAAGATAAATTACCGAAATCAATTAAATGTAATAGTGGAACTCCACTATGGAGATCTTATTTTAAAGCGCACGATTCATTGAGTACTTCATTTACGGCATTAACTCAAATTTTAATGCACGAAATGAACAACATCGTATTTTTAAATTAATAAAGTTTTATTGGTTGATATTGTTAATTTAATGGAACAATTCTCATTAATATTCGATCATTTAGAATTTTCTTATTGTCCAACACTACAGAATATAGTTCGGGCTTATTACAAGATGGTGAGTTATTGTCAAATCAAAACAAATACACAAGAAAAATAAATACTCAACACATTAAAATCTGAAATATTGAAGGCATTAGATAATAAATATTGATCTTCTATCACGACATTACATTGGATTGTCACATTTTTAAAATCAACATTCAAATCTTTAACATTTGCTCATGACAAAAAAGACCGAGCAAAACGTCATCATGAAATACAAAAAGGATTGCATGTATTAGCTGGTGATCTGTTAACAACTTCAGATGATGATCAACAGATATTAATCACGTCAACTGATTCTATCAGTTCATCTTCACCACCTCAAAGGAAGCCAAAAAACGATCCTTTTGCTGATATTCGTCAACAAGTTCCAGCAAATCCATCTTTATCGTGCCGTCAAAAACAACATTCGAATCGTTAAACATTGAACTTGGTCGACAACTTCGGTTATATAACAGTATGACATTAGATAGTAATTATGAATATAATAATAATCCTTTGTTGTTTCGGAATGAACAATACAATCATTTACCATTGTTGGCTAGAACAGCAAGATCCATATTTGCTGTACAAGGTAAGACGTTCATTTGATATAATTATTTTCCAGATTTAGTACTAGGGGGGGGGGGGGGGTGTCAGATAAAAGTTATATATCTTATTACATTGAAATCTTATATATAACTTGCAATTATTTTTTATGTATTTTAGCATCATCTAGTGAAAGTGAACGACACTTTTCAATGTCAGGGCGAATAGTGATTGAACAAAGAAGTATTCTTGATTTTGATTGTGTTGAAGCCTTAGTTGTACTCAAAGAAGCTTATCTTAATAATTTATGGTCTAAAGAAGAATGATATTTGTATTGTGATTAATGACTACTTAAAACGAAAAAAAAAAAGAAACTACATTTTCATTTATACAAATTATTATTTTATAAATAATATGAAATATGATTTTATACCTGTGTTATTTGTAACAGTCGTTGTGAAATAGTAATCCAAAGTTATGAAAACATTATTTTGTCATTTTTTGTTCTTTTCTTAAACTATTATTTGATTAAGAAGAAATAATAAAAAAGATTGTAATGAATCAGAAAATAAAGGAGGTGCAACGGATTTGTCGTAACTATTTCAACTTTTCGAGATAATATACCTAAAAACGTTAAAGATTTGTCATAAGTGGTCTCTTTTCTTCGGAGTTTGGCTAATCATAGACTATCTTTATTTGTTTTAAACAATGATGTATGTCAAGTGATCAACTTCACTCATACTACTACCATAGGATCCAGATCTATAGTATAATGAAGACTATTGATTCATATCGCGTCAAAACATCATTTTTTCCACAGTAATAAGCATATCGAAACTGATATTGCATTAGTTGAGTTCTTATTTATCATACCTTAAAAAATACATACATTTGGTTTTTTACCGATCAGATTATACCATAAAATCGGCCGGTTTTTTGCCGGTCCAATCACAAATGTAGACCGGCCGATAACGAGCCAGTTCGGTTCGGTCGAAAATATCAAACTGGACCGGTTCCAAGTCTGAGTTGAATAATCTCTATTCAGCTTTTCAAATAGTAAAAGAAAGATTCGAAATATTCAGATGAAATATTGTGAATTGGTTTAATATTTAATATGAAAAATAACAGATGAAAATGATAAAAATAAATTAATAATTGAAGATTTATATAAAGAAAGAAGATGTTAATAGGAATAAAAATAAATTTCACCCATGTCTTTATTAGAAAATTGTTGAATAAAAACTAAGAATAAAATCTAATTAAATTAATTGGCATGTTTTTTAACAATAGTAAGATTTATTCTAAGAAAATGTGATTGATCATTATTTGAAATTTGTTCAATTGACTGTCGAAATAATTGAGCTTTTTGCCAAGCAGTATCATCATTATTATCATTTGAACTTGTTAATATAACTTTAAAACCAATTCGAATATTTGATAAAGAATTTATTTTCTCGTCTAGAATATATTCAAATGATGAATTTGAATCTAAATTTAAAATAAGAGAAAAAAAAACAAGAAATTTAAATAAAATAAAAATTTGTAAAAATACTTTGTGGTATATCAATAATTAGTTGATCTCCAATATGTAATTGACAAATAATTTGAGCATATTGATCAAAAGTTGTTGATGGACATTGAATATTAATTTTATTAAATCGATAAAATTGTTCTTGTTCGGAATTAAATTGTATAAACCATGAAATAAATCCATTTTGAAATAATTTATTTCTTGATAAATAAACCATTTTCCAATCTTTTTCAATTTTTCTTTGAATATTTGAAGATGAATAAACTTTATCAATCCATCCATCTATTTGATTTTCTTCAAAACCATTACGATAATATTTATTTAATACAGAATTATATTCAATAGTGATAAAACCTTTTTCACATTCTTGATTATTTATTAAATAAATAAATCCATTTGTTATATCATTCTAAAATATAAATTATATAAAAACTAATAATAAATTAAATTAAATAAAGAACTTTTTCATCTGTTTCTCCTCGTGCTAATTTCCAAGTAAGTGAACCACTTTGTCTTCCATGTAATTCACTTTCTTTTGTTAATTTTTCTTCATTTAACATACTAACTAGATCTTTTATTCGACTAGAAAAAACAAAATAAAACAAAAAAAAAACCAAGTTGAAATGAGAAAATCTATACTTGGAAATAATTTTGTTTTTATCTTGTTGATTAAGTTGTGATTGAATTTTTCGATTAATTTGAGAAATAATTTTCGCGAAGATATATTCATTAATATTTCTTGTTTGTATTGTTTGTTTAAAATGAGTAACATATCTCCAAGTAACATCTTCAATATGATCTTTAGCAAAAGCAATACAATATGATAAACTTTTTTTCCATCCTTTTTCATAAATAAGTGGAGAATCACAAAGATTTTCACATGAATCACAATGAATCCATCGATTTTGATTTTCGGAATAAACTTCAGTCCAAACATGATCAGTTGTATCATATATATAACGACTTTCAAATGATAATGCACGACAAAGACAAGTAAATAGATTTGCAGCTTCACCACAACGACCACAACGAGTTTCTAATAATTTTAATGGAGCATTGAAACGAGGAAAACGATATTGAGATGAACAATTTGAACATCTTTTCAAAATAAATAAACAATATTTTAAGTAAGAAAAAAGTTTTTTTTTGTTTTTTGTTTTTTTACTTATAAAGTTCGACTTTATGTGCACCTCCTTGTTCTTGTTCTTCTCTTGTTGGTTGAACATATTGAAAAAAATCCATTGATTTTTGACATCGATCACAATTTGGATGATCAAACCACGTAAAAAATTCTTCTTTAAACCATCTTAATAACTCAATTAATAATAAATCACGTTTATCAATATCTGTTTGATTTTTTCGATTAGAAATTCTTCGATTAAAATCTTCTAATGGAATTATGGATGAACGAATATAACGACGAAGATTAATATCTTCATAAGATTGAACTTGTTTTAACATTGATAAAAATGGAATTAATTTACTAAATTCCAATGGAATACCAAGATTATCATATGAGATTAATTTATATTCTAATTTATCATCATCAATTATTCCAAGATCTATAACATTACATTTTATCTAAATTTTTTTATTATTTTGATAATATAAAACCTTTCAATTATAAATATTTACTTGTTTAGATTGATCGAGAGGATTTGAATCAAGTTCATTTTCAAGTAATTTAACTATTTCTTCAAGTTTTTCATTAGATGTTGTTTGATCAAATACATAATCATCATTCACCTACATTTTTTCATTATAGTAGTTATTTGCATTCTAATCGTTATTTTATTATAGATTATACTAAGAATTGAAAACTTTTTTTTTCTATTAGATCTTTACTAAGACTAACTCAGATTTCAACTAGAAAAATACAAAAGATAATATCTCGAATTAATTGACATTGACAAATAATTATTTTCATCATCTTCATGTTTATTATTTGTAGAAGTAGAATTGAAAATATCTTTTCTTATTCAATATTAGAAAATAAATATCTGAATATATGAAATCAATTAAAATTAGATCTATTAAATATTCTTCAAATTTTTTTTCTTTCTAATTATTTATCTATCAGCAAATTACAGATTATTCGAGTATAAATCAAATTAGTTTTGCTAAAATACGTTATTATTCATGAAAAAAGCGATATATAATGATTGTGTATTCTTTCGAAAATAACAAAAGTTTCTCATAAAAATATTTCAATAATAATTAAGATTTGGCAACAGTTTCAACTGTGATAATCGAAACTAATTCGGATATTTTTAACATTTGATTAAATGAATTTAGTTGTCAACTTTCTCTAATCATTCAAAGTATATTTCTCAAGCGAGAAATGACGTACTCCTGTATTTGTGGACTACATCAAATACAGTTGAAGTACATCAAATCTAATATCAAATCAATCTTGAAACGACATACTTCAATACTTTCGTACTACCTGTACTCCTTCTATTCCCGCTCTACATCTTGTGCTCTCATTGTACTCCGAAAGTCCATGGAGTTCAGTCGAAATACATGGACTTTGCGAAGTACTGGAGTACGTCGTTCCTCTTTGATATTTGTTCATTATAGAGGCAACTTCGATGTTCATTGAGTGATATGTAGAATTTTTTATTACATAAATCCATAAATAAACAGTGTTTGAAATATACAAGTATTGGCGAAATTCAGTTAAATGAAAATGTTTGTATTTCTGATGTTGATGAGCACGAGAAGTCATAAAGAATTTAATGATCTATTCGAGACGTTTCACAATAATTTGAAAAGACTCTTTGAATATATTTGTTAGTCTTTCAAATAAGTAACAAAACAATAAAACGTATTGAAC